GAACCCAGACAAACTGTAACATCTTAAGTAAAGCATCAGCACTTACTTTGCCAGGGTTGAAGAACCACCACTCAGGGTACTAAAGGACAGGCTGCTGTTTCTTCTGGAGAAGACTATTAAGAATTAAAACTGCAAGCGCAGCTGAAAGCAAAGGAAGAGCTACCGAATTTGACAGCTATGACATCAAAAGTAACTGTGTACTCGTATGTCTGAGCAAATAATATTGTATCTTAACAGGTTAGGTTAGGAGACAATGTTTTATCTATAGCTCTCAGGCCATCAGATCACCTGAAACAACTCAGAATGAAAAAATGAGTGCAGCACAGCACTGAGTGTGCTGTCAGTGCTCAATAACACATACACTACTTACTGAGCTGTGGTTTTGTTGTCATTGTCTGGCAGCAAGATCATTTGTTTTAATGACCTTCTGCCATCATGTGAAAGCAATAGCTCTTTTGATTGGACGTGTGGTAAAATTAAAGGCTAATTGGTATTCCACTGACAATATGCAGTCGTGCCTCGTTGTGCTGCTGACAAGATCTGATGGATGCTGCTTCAGGTTCAAAGGAAATTAGTTCGATAGGAAAAAAAACCTGGCAGTGCCTGGTTTTCAAGTTATCTACTAGTGTTCTATTTCACAGGAGATGTTATACCATCCAAATTTAATACAAACCAGGCAGAAGAAAACACAATGACAATATTACTGTGGCATCTGTCCCCTGTATGAGCTTATTTTGGTATCACAGTTTTGAAACAAGCACACCTGAAAGGAGCAATAATTTAACACAAGTGAGGACATTAGACTAATAGTTTGTCAAAACAGGCAAGTTTTGAGACAAACAAAAGGTCTCCTACTTCTAGAAATGTTACAAGAAATCCTGAATGTTAGAGCTTGGCTGCTTGATATCTAGAAACCCTGCAGGTGCTAAGTAGTTCCAGAGGTGTAGCTTATCTAAAGTGTTAGAAGTGCTACATGCAGTTTTAGAGTTTGTCTACTTATGTACAGTTACTACAACACACAATCTATTCGGCAGAATGTAAACAAGCAACTGTGGCATGTCCCAAGACCTACCCAACACACATACTGCTATTTCTTTACAGGAAGTGCCAAACAGAAATACAGCAATACTTTTAAGGTATAGATTTTCCAGTTAATGTCTCCATCTGTGATCCAGGCTTTGTGTCAGAACAGGTTTACTTCAAATATTACCTTAATGGCAGCCATTAAAGCTTTACTGATCAGAATTTAAACTCACATTATTCATTAAAGACAGCCTTTTAAAATGGCATGGGAATGCTAGATCCAGACTGAAGAATGTAAATAAGCAGGCTTGGATTCTGAGATGCTAAGTATTCATTAGCTTCAGTAATTTCAAAGACATTTGGCTTTGAAAACTTTGATTTTAAACTTGGGTTTAGAAAGACAACTTCCCAAATGCATGCCTTCCAATTATCTTCTGTATCCAGCAGAGAATCTAAAATACAGCTACAACTGCTGTGCTCATACACGCTTTTTGAATCCAGCTTTTAACAGCCCTAGTTTTCCAAAGCAATCTGAATAGCAAAACTTTATTCCAACAGTTCATTAAACAGCTATGGCTTCCATTACTACAATCCATTTTCAAAATACAGAAACCAAAGTGGCATCATTTTTCTATTAGGACAAAGCAAATCAGGGTGCAAAAAAGGAGCAGGCTGTGTCAAAGGGAAAGGTGGCCAGCCATCAATCCAGTCCTGCGTTAAGCCCAAATAAAAGAGCCACAGCAGAGGTCATCCTGGTGCAACGTTCCTTTTACAAGACACTGCACCTAAAATTGCAGAGAATATGCTCTTACCACGAACATCATTCTTCACTATGAATTTTCTTGTTGTAAGTGAATGTTGCATTGTTGGCTCAAGTACAGAACTGAAGGCAATGAGTGTCAAAAAGCCCAGTGCTATCCCAGTAAGATTTGCAGCCTGCCTCTGCTGATTGAGTCAGGGCATTTGAGATTCAGGCTTTTATTTATGCAATCAAACATGGAAAAAAGGAACAAACAAACAAATTGCTTCTATGTTTTTTAAATATAACTTTTTCTAATTAAGCAGAAAGTTGTTGATGAAAGAATTGCTACCCCTGTGTTTAGACATACTGTGCTGGTTTAAAGGTAAACCAGTGGGGAAAATGAACTCAACTCAAAAGAGAGATTATAAGTCAGAATAACAATTTAATAAAATAATACAATAAGTACAATTACACAGACAAACAATTGGTTTTAACCCGCAAAACCCAAATGTATAACCCAGCACCCTGGGGCATGAACAGAGTGGTGCTCTTTGGGCCCCCTGAGTCCAAAGTAGAAGGAGAGGGGAAAACCTGTTAGTGAGAGTGCTGTTGCAGTCTGGTCAAGAGTGGTGATTGCAGTCCGGGCGAGAGTGGTGGTCTGCAGTCTGGTTGAAAAATGGTGGCTGCAGTCTGGTTGAGAGCGGTGATCTGCAGTCTTCCTCTGGATCCCACGTGGTTCCGAAGTTCCAAGACTCCAAGATTATATATTCTCCAGTTCAGGCAGGAATGCTCAGTACTTCCCTCAGGGCGGGGAGTTCCACAAAAGAGTGTGAGGACAGGGAGGCACCCTCCTATCTAGCAGGCCTCTTAACACCTAGTTTATAGCCTAAGGAGTCAGGCCGCTCTGGGCAGAAGGTGTAAATAGTCTATTGATACCAGTTTCTGGGAAACGGCATGGAAGGCTATAGAATACACAGTTTTGGGTTACACCCATACAGTGATAAACTGGTCCCAGCTGTTCTAACTAGGACACATACATAAAACATGCATGTTCTATGATGCGGCTTTGACAACTTTTAGAATAAAAGATCTAAGCTCCAGATGATAAACTGTACTCAGACACTTTGACTATTATATTCCAGTGGCACAAAGGAACAGAATTTCCATCCTGGGATACCTTGTAATTATGTTGTAAAGTCTCCTGTGAAGATACATAATAACTTATAGTACTTAAAAGCATGCCATGCATGAATAAATGCTGTTTTTCTCCTCCTTCAGCATCTTTCAGTCAATAGCATCCACAAGAACGTATAAAACTATTGCATATTATTGTATTGTGTATTTTGTGTGTGCTATATAACAAAGTGCATTGTTCTAAAATTCTAAATAGGTTTCTCTGGAGTGCTTCTCTCTTCCCCTTCCCCCTACCCTCATTTTCTCCATATTCTTTTCTAGTATACTTTGCTGTTGCTTACACTCTTTTCCTTCCTGAAAACTCAGCCTTTCTCTGTCTAGACCCAATACCACCACAATACCCAAACAACAATAGTTATTAGAGGTTACCAAATCTTGTTGCCCAGTAGAGGCCAGGATGCTGAGCATGTTTTCTCCATAGGTGGAGGTGTACAATACACACATGCACACACAGCCATCCGCACAGATACCCGGACAAAAACCACAGCCCTGGCACAATCACCAACAGCACCAGCACCCACAATACTGTTCCCCTGTCTGGCTGATTGGGATGAAAGCCTGCGAGCAAGGAACACATACTCCATACAATACTCCAGTGGCTGTTCATAGACACTCCATCTGTCCAGTAACTGACTGCTGGATCTTCTAGTGTCTCCAGTGTCTGGCACCTGGGCATAAAAGCCCCTAAGGCCTGCACGTCCACATGGGTTGCTGGGTCCCAAACCCCCTGGAGCATGACACACACCCTCTGACTCTCTCTGGTAACTGGTCTTAATCTATACCCAGCCCCTGAATCCCCTGATCTGACAGTCGCCTCATGTACAAAAGCACCTGCTAACAGGCTCTCTTACAGCTGGTCCCCTGACCCTGTGGGTCCTTCCCACAGCTGGCCTGGAGCTCCTAGTCCCTCCCATAGACCACACCCAGGGTTCTCTGGTATCTCCAGTACTTGGCTCCCAAGCTTATCTTACTAGCCTGCTAGTCCAGCTTCATGCTCTTTAGTAACTACACACAGTGATGTACGGATCCTCACAAGACACATGTACTCCAGTCTTTCCAGTTGCTGCCACTCCAGACAAACGGATAACTATGACTGGGCATCTGTCCAGTTCCTGGCACCCAGCCCTACACACACTCCAGTCTTTGCAGCTGCTGGTATCACAGAAGCATGGGCTCCTGCGAGTGCTGGTCCCCTCTCCTTTCACTGGTACTTAGCTGTCCATCCACTGACAGACAGACCCTCAATCATGAAAACAGTTACAAATGGAGTTCAGCAACAATGCTGGAAAAGCAGTACTGATCAGGTACTTACCAGCGGCCTTACAACTGGCCCTTATTGCTACCTCTTCCTTATCTTCTCACATTTGTTCCTCCTCAAAACATCTTGATCCTCCTTTTCCCTACCTTGGTCCTTCCCTTTAATGTTTTATAATAAGTCTTTCAAATCCCAAGGATTTCTGAAGTCATTATGGGATGCAAGGACAATGTCCCTCTCAGGATGATGTGGTATCTGTAGTAACCCAGAGAGCCTCTTCCATTAACTTGTCTGGTGAGTTTCACACTTGGTCCTGTGTCGCGACGCGGGAAGAATGAGACGCTCGATATGAGAATCAACAAGCTTCATTTATTATTTAAATAAGTCAACTTTTATACAATTTAGTTTGTCTTGGGTACATGCTTACAACTAGGTGATTGGATAGCTCAGTCTGTACACGCGTCTCATGTCTCCAGTTCACAGTCTCTCTGTCCACGCGGCCTGATATCATACTTGGCATGTAGAGGCCTTCATAATTAGGGGCTTTCTGAAATCTGCAGGTGTACTTTTATCTATACTTTCTCAAGGCTTTCTTGCTCTAAACATACTGTGTTCTCAAACCTTATAATTAGACACACAGCTAACAAGTATAAACATTACATATTTTCACACAGTCTATAAGTATAAACATTACAGCTTACAACTTCTAAAGTCATGTCAAGCAAGGCCTACAGAAATGCAGGAAAAATTGTTCAGAGAAATCTCTCTATTCTGGCCACAGTCCTGAGGCACATCCTCCTCCTTTCACAGTCCCAGATCCAGATTAGGGTGTTCTTCCCTGATGTTTTCCCAGGGATTTGGTCACTGGAGTTTCACCTCCTGTCATCGCTCCACTGTGCTCATGGCAATCAGCCTCTGATCATATCGTGCGGAAATTAACCAATTTTCTGCGTTATTGTTACATTATCAAGCCCAGTTGAAAAATTTACAAATTATTTTCAATACAGATATTCTAGATACACTATAAGCATCAGTGAACACAAAATACAATCAAAATTACTGAACACAAGAACCCCAACAGACCCAAACTGCAAAGCTTTTGGTTCGTAAGTGCCTGTGATAGCATGCGCAAATCCCTATGGAGTTTTCCCAATGACTTCAATAACTGATAGATGAAGCTAAAGGCAAAAGATGCTCTGTAGGGAAAGATAGCATAACTTTCACATTTTATTTCTGTTCTTTACCCTTTTAATCATTTTAGGGCTCATTCTGTAGAAATTATTTGCAAGCACGTCTAAATTGAAATGTCATGACTATAGCTATGATTTGTAAAAAAATGTAAGATGCAAGTTGAAGCCCCACCCTGGCAGTTAGCGCTTCCCTGGATGTCTGTGCAGCTAAGCACAGCACAAAAGGATCTAATGCTCCTCCTGTGCAGCTTCCAAATAACTATTTCTTCTGTTAAAACCTCTCTATTTCAGAGAGGTCTTCGGAAAAGAATTTGTTGACATGAGAATGAGCCACTGAAGAGAGACAGGAGTGCAGGAGAAGGTCCTGGAGATTCTTAGGTAAGAGCTTAGGTACTGCTTGTTAGCATCTCTATTGAAAGACATAAATATATATATTTTGTTACTTAAGAAACAACTGCTCTGTTCATGTGCTAATTAAAAAACCCCCAAGCCCCCAGAGCTCACCTTGTAGGTTGCTAAAAATCTGCAGCCATTCAGCAGATGTAGCCAGTAATACTATTTTTCTCCAGGCAGAATTCTAAGTATTTTGAAAACCATCACAGAACACACACACAAACTAAGGACGTTGCTACACTAAAATATATCTTTAGGAATTAGAATATAATAACATCAAATATGCAATTGCTAACTAGTTGTTCAGTATGGCATTGGGGAGACAAACTTTTTGGAAAAATAACAGAAGGAATTGCTGATTCAGGGATTTCTTTACAATTGCGGAACGCTGTTAATAGAATAAAAGGATTACTGGAGATTTTAAAGAAAAATAAGGGAGTTTTGCATGAGGCTACACTGGTCCAGGAATTGCGTGGTAACAGCTTTGCAGTTTAAAACAAATTTTTGGTTTTTAACTTTCAGAGTTTTCATTTATACATTTAATATTTCTAATCACATAGCTGTTCTCAATTAAAAGTTAAAAGGCAAGGAAATATAAAACCTTCCAAATCTCAAGAAACTTCTAGAAGTTTAGAAGGACCACAGAAGAGTGGCCCTCAGCATCATGCTCAGGGCCATTTCCCTGCTAACTTCTTTATCATCACCTGCGCTAAGTGCTTAATGTTGAGCTCATACAACACAGCTGTGATAAAGTCATGCAAAGAGACTAGAACTGCATGAACAGCCAGCTCCTTACTGGTTCCAAACCACTATGTTTCAAAGCATTTGCATGGACACACACTCAGCAAAACAATCAAGAAATTTTTGGGCAACACCAGTCAGAGTAGTTAAGCAGGTGGTAATATTTCATAAGCTTTTCCACTTCCATCCTATTCTTCCTCATCCATCTCTTTTCCATGCTGAAAAGGCTGTCACCTCCTGAAAAGCCCTTCTGAACAGGAAAAAAATAACCAAAAATCCCAACAAAGATGGTCTTTTCAATTCTAAACATACTCTTTCAGGAACAGAGGCCTGGACCTACACACTGTCATTAAGATGAAGCCCCATGATGAATTAAGACAGCTATCAAACTGCTTCCTGGTTTGCTCTCTGCTGACTCTTTATGTAATGTTTCCCATTTGTCCACAGGTTAAGAGATTTTTATACATTCATTAAATTATCCACAAGGGTCACCAAGATCTTTGTTTTATCTGATCACAGCTACTCCAGAGCTCATGGTTGGACTAAGACATGGCTAACAGAAAGGCCAAAAATAGACTGAAGGGCTTTAATTTTATCATGAGATAAACTAACTGAGATAATTCAGGTACCGTAAAACTGACCTGACATCAAGTTTTACTGCAAGTAAGTTTTTTCAATGAATTGTTTTTACCAGTATGGGTTCTTTTTGCCTACCTGATGTGTGTTAGCTACTCAAATTAAACTAAAAAAAAAAAAAAAAAAAGAGAGAGCATTTTAGCACTGAAGACCATTTCCATGACCTAAGCTCTAGCACTTAGGTCTGTACATGACCCTGACAAGATGTTAGACAAAACTGCAGATTTTACACAATAAAACAGACAGAGACAGTGGATGCATTTAAGAGGCTAGAAAAACAGGCTCCATCATTTAGCAGCTGTAATTTGAAAAAATTAAAAAAAAAAAATTACCCCAATCAAATGCCTAACAATACCATCTTAGGCATAAATGTTGTGTACTGAAATATTACTCAGGCATCTGGTAAATAGTATTCATGGTAAATGAATTACCATTAAACAAAAAACATCACCCACTCCTGCATTTTATAGCCTCCCTCTCTTCCTCCAGGGGAAAAGAAAAAAAGAAGAGTAAGGTTGAGGGACACAGAGTTTTTTTCAATACTTCAAAAGTGACTGCACAGAACAAATCCATAACCTTCTGACATGTTGCTCTCTGTTTCTGGAGTTGTTCACGGTGCATATTTCCCTTCTGTCCTTCAGTCAGCTGAACTCACAAAACAAAGAGGTTTAATTCAGTCAGAGAGTTGGAGATATTAGGCATAAAAAAGATAGATCTGTCACCTCCTGACTGGTGAGCAAGGTCAAGAATGCAGACAGCAGGAGAAAGATGGCTGAGAATGGTTTGGATGTTAAGTTTAAGTCACTGGCATAACATTTAGAAGTCATTGGTAAAGGTAGATCCCACAGCAGGATTCAGTGTTGCTTTCACACTCTAGCAAGATGAAAAACCTTGGCAACTGATCACACAAGAGAGGCCAAATTCCAGAGCCAGCTGTGATGGGTAAGCACAACTGCACCCACTTTACTAGCAATACTAATCATGTGATGATAGAATGTAAAACTCTGGAAATGGTAGAGGAGTAAAGAGGAAATGTAAGAGAGCCTATGCCAGGGATACACAGTGGTGAAGGGCTCATGATGAGATAAGAAAAGTGGTACAGCAAAGCAGTCTTTCAAAAATTGCGTATGCCTATTCAGAAGAAAGCAGCATATTTTTAGCAAGTTTCAAGCCTTTCTCCGAGGTGACCTGATTCCTCTCTTACAGTGTCTTTGTCGACTCGTGTGCAGAGCACAGTTTTCTTATGCCAGATGGTTAATTACAATGGCAGTTCCACCAGAGTGTTCACCGCCACGGCCTCGGGGATGCCAACAAACCCCGACATCGCCTGCCATTTACCCACACCCCTTGTTTACAACCAGTCAGCCCACTTCCAGCCCTTGCTTGCCTGCACACGTACTCTTTGAAACTAGGAGTCCTCGTACAAAGCCCTTTCCAAGCATCCCTCCAAGGGATGCTACCACACCCAGCACCATCATCCAAACCGCCTATTCCAGCCCAGAACAACTCGTATTTTCTGGGAGGAACCTCTCTGACTCTCATCCTTTTAACTCTTTGGGGAGCACTTCACACCTCGCACGGAACCGCCATCTTCCAAACACCACCAAACCCAAATTTCAGCGCTTTCGTAAATAAGGACCCCCTCGGGACTCAGCCTTCCTCCCGGGCCACCTCCTCCGCGCTGCTGACTCTCTCCCGCCTTGCCCTTCCCCAGCCCGCACGGTTCCTCCTGGGCTGGCCCCTGTAGCCCCGTACAGAGCCCCGGAGCAGCTCCCGCAGGGCACCGGCAGCACTCGGAGGAGGGGGGCAGCGGGACCCTCGGAGAGGCTCCAGCCGGTGTGGAAGCCACAGCTCCGCCACCCCCACGTGACTCCCGCTCCCCTCCGCCGTTGGAGAAGCTCCGGAGCGGCGCGTGGCGGCCGCCGTACCCGGAAAAGGAAAGGGAAGGGAAAGGGCGCGGCGCGGCCGGCGCGGGCGGGCAGCGGCGGCGGCAGGGCTCAGCCCGTCCCGGCGGCGGGCCAGGTAACCTCTGTCTTCTTTTCCTCCTCCCCTTCCCGCGGCTGCTGCCCTCGCACGGCTCGGGGCCGGGCCCGCCGCAGCGCGGCGCTCAGGGCAGTGCCGGTGTCCGGGGCCGCCGCGGCGTTGGCAGCGGGGACTGTGAGCGGGGCGCGGCTCCTGCGGGTCACGGAACCACAGAGCGAGTCAGGTCGGGAGGAGCAACAGTGGAGCATCTGGTCCAGCCTCCCTGCTCAAGCAGGGCCGTCCTTGCGCACGTGGCACAGGGTGGTGTCCAGATGGTTCCTGAGCATCTCCCGTGAGGGAGACTCCACAACCTCTCCGGGCAACTTGTTCCAGTGCGCGGTCATCCGCACAGTAAATAAGCTTCTCGTCGTGTTCCGGTGGTGCTGCTTGTGCATCAGTTTCTGCCCATTGTCTCTTGTCCTGTTACTTGGCACTACCGAGAAGAGCCTGGATCCGTCCTCTTGGCACTCCTCCTTCAGATACTCATAGACATTGATGAGGTCACCTCTCAGCCGTCCCTTTCCGCCGCCGGTGTGGGGTTTTTAAGGCTGACTATAATCTTTTTGGAAACTCTGAGGTTCTCGGCGTTAGGTTATGTTCTCTGTGTCTCCCTGGAAAAGAGCTGAGGCAGCCCTCGGGCGTAGCCCTGCATGCAGCCTCCACAGCAGTTCATTAACAGCCTTGCTGGAGTATTTATATTTATGGAATGAAACACATAAACGCTTGTGAGCGTCTGGTCCACAGCAATGGTCTGCCTGCCTAGTGAAAGAAGCCGTGCGGCCGTAATGTTAAAACACAGATAGAACATGGCAGCATAACAAATGCATTTTTGTGGAGTGGTGGAAGCACTTACCCAGCTGGTTTGCCAAAACCTCCAGGAAATCCAGTGGTTAAAGGTTGGGAATTTCGATTTTTAAGCAGGAGCATATAGTTTATACTACTTATTCATTGCTAAGAGAGAAATTATAGGGCTTCTTTTAACCCTAACCTAGACCTGAGTTGATGCACCCTTGAGGCCTCTCATTGTTTAGCCAGTATTAGCAGTGACTCAGGCGAAGCTAAACAAAGGTAAGCTTGCACCTGGGGATGTGTTTATGGCCAGTGACCTCACTGTGGTATGCAGCTTCATCTCCTATTGCCTGAGGCCACACATCTGGGAAAAGTGCTGAATGCACTTTTTTGTTTAAGCAAATTATGAACTAGCATTACAGAGGAAGATGTGATCGGTTCTATGCAAACTGTTAAAATTTTCCTCTTTTTTTAGATTGTTTGCACTGCTAAAGAGGAACTGCAATGGAAAGTACAGTATCGGTTGTTTTCCTTGTATCCTTTTCCATACTGCTATGTGAAAGTTATCATGGAGTGGAGACCGTTACTGTTGTGCATACATCAGAGAGAGCTTTTCCAGAAAAGACAGTGGGCATTAATACTGACTTGGCAGGACTAATACAGAAGTTTCACCTTCAAGAACTTTTTCATCGTTATGGAGAAAACAACTCTCTATCAATTGATGGGTTTAGAAAACTTCTCCAGAACATAGGTATAGATAAAATGAAAAGGATTAAAATAGGCCACGATCATGACCATGATCGCCATGATCATGACCATGATCACCACGATCATGATCATCATGATCATGACCATGACCATGATCATGATCATCACTTCCACCATAATCATGTTTCGTTGAGTAAAAGCTCCGAGAAGACTGCTTGTCCAAACCATGAATCTGATGCTAACAAAGACCACAGGAACAGCCACGTGAAGGAACCTCATAAAGCGGAGAACGTGGAACACCAGCAGAACTTTGTACGCAGCAAGAACACCGTTAATGAAATAATGGCATCTGTCATCACTGCTTCTGCAGGTGGCCACTCCGAGGTGCAGAATGTGCAACCTGGGGAAGTCAAGACAGTTGCTCGTTCAGGGCTGACCGGCCCCAATGCCGTCAATGTCACGGGCGGCCGCAATGTGAGCTGGCTTGCTGTCAGCAAGGCAAATGAATCTCGTGCTTCCCCGAAGGAGTCAGAAGGAGGAAGTTACCTGTATTCTAAACTGAAAAAACAAAGCACTCAAGAGGTGAGACCAATTCTGTTGTATTCTCAGGAGTCCGGATCCACTGGGAATGTTGTCATGGCTTTTGTCAGATGCTTGTCGTTCAGCTGGGTGCAAGCTTTGTGGTGTAACCATACCCATGGCAAAACACATGCAAACAACTTTCCTTGAAACTTAACATTTTGGAGGAATGTTGTGTCATGTTCACAAGCTCAGAGGAAAATTAAGTATAAACGTATACTTTGTTTAATATATTTACTATTTATATAATATTTTAAAATATTACTAAAAATGAAAAACATTTAAAATTTAAAACTTGCAGTTCTGCCTTAAAGTCAGTCTCTGTCTTGTTTTCCTCATAATGTGACGAAAGTAAAAAAATCTAGTTAAAATACTGTCATTCTTATCAAAGCTGTCATAGCTGTGATAGCATAGAACCATCTTCCTTCAACCCCCTCCCTGTCTTCAAGACTGTATATAGAAAGCAACTGTAAAAAATATTGTGTCAAAAAGTTATCTGGTACTTTAAAATAGTAAAAAGTAGGGCCAATAAAGTCAATAGTTGTGTTGTAGACAGTTTTCTTACACAGTCAAATCTTTTTCTATTAAAGCCTTTAAAAGGCAATTGAAGTCTTAACATTTGCAGCCATGCCAGGTAATTCAGAATGGGTGTTGTGTAACATGTGACTGTAGGTGCTGAATTCACAAGTTGTTGCTGTGTTCTGCACAGTCAAAGCAGAAGTACTACTGTTCTTTAAACTTGATGAGACTACATGTAGGTCATCCAATGGGGAGCTCTTTACTAGAGGAAGTGTATGCAGAACATGCTCTGTGCAAGACTTTCCATAGTAGTCACTTTATAAAAAGGTATTTGACCTTGTTATAGCTTCCTTGTGTGGCCTTTAAAACAGAATGAAAAGTATTAGGCTTTTTCTATTTATACAGCAAAAAGCATCTGACCCACTTGTGCTGAGAATGAGTGATAATTATGTGTCATCTACCAGGACTCCCAAACGAGCTTTCTGGGAGAGGAAAGGGGTGGAGGGACATTTTTCACTTAAATTGGTCTGTTACCAGTTTCTGAGTTGTGTTGATACAACTGTTTTTATATGGTGCCGCTGCATTTCAATTAAGATGGGATGTGCAGTCCTTTTAAGGTATGTCATGGTATTTTGTTTCCGGTTAATCTTTAACATATGTCTTATTTCTGCAGTGCTCAAATGCTTCAAAACTGATGCAGTCACATGGAATAGGCACTCAAGTATTGTTGTCTGCTACAGAATTTAGTTACCTCTGTCCAGCTCTTATTAATCAGATCGATGGCAAGTACTGCATAGTCCATGCAACTAGTGAAAAAGCTGAAACTCCTCCAAAAAGTTACTCTCTGCAGATAGGTAGGTTGTTTTTTAACATCAAAGCTTAATGGAAACATATTTCTGTTGGTTATGAATCTTTGTGGCTTACCTGTGATCAGAAGTGTTTGATAACAGAAATGTTAAGCAAACAAAATCATGTACAGCTGTTACTTATTGTTGTTACTGCTTTATTTTTTTTTTTTACCAGCCTGGATTGGTGGCTTTATATCCATCTCCGTCATCAGTTTTCTTTCCTTATTGGGTGTTATATTGGTGCCGCTGATGAATCGTGTATTTTTCAAATTTCTTCTAAGTTTTCTTGTGGCACTGGCTGTGGGGACCTTGAGTGGAGATGCCTTCTTACACCTCCTTCCACATGTAAGTATTAATTACTGTTTCATTTCTCATCTCGGAGAACTTGACACTTATCTGTAATACTTAATGAAAATTTTAATCCCTTTTAATTAATACCAGTTTGGTGAGTCACTTTTCAGCCTTGTAAGATAGATTATGTGATGGAAAGGTTTTCCATTTGAAACTGTTTGTGTTACTCATTTCTGTCCTTACAGTGCAAGAACTTCACAGCATTATCCCTCTCTCTGTTTCCTGTTTTTAGTCATATATATGCTGCCAAGTCACTTATTGTTCCTTGTATGCAAGAATTTTGCATAAATGTTCTTAGTGGTTTATGGCAATGCTGCCTGTTCTTTTTCCAGTGTAATGGACTTTACAGATAGTGGAAATTGCTCACTGAACACTTCAAATGTGGAATGGATAATCAACTATTTTCTGTTATAAGCCAGTTATGGTGATGGCTTATCTATAGTAATTTTTTCATCAGAATCAAGCATTTCTGAAGTCCAGGGAAAATATTACTTGATAGACTTTGGAGTTGTTTTTATATAATGTGGACAATGAAATAGGTAGAAATTTAGCAAATTCCCTTCTTGAAGCTCTCAAACAGACATTTTGCTGCTTCCCCTCCCAAAAGTAAATTGTTCTAGCTTTCAGAAAAGTATAAGAATGTAGCTTCAGTGAATGGGTGAATACCAGGCCTATTCTCAGTCCTTACAGTGTTTCTTCCTATGAACAAATTTCCAGTCAATGGATTTCTTTGTAATTGTTTGAGTCTGTATGCAGAGCATTTACCCTGTGAAACTTGTCAAGTCTGGCCTCCAGACATGAGGAAAATAATATGGAAAAATACTTTCTATGTTTCTTATGTTACGGTTCTTTTGAATGTAACAACTTTCCACCTTTGGTTCTCCCTTTAGTCTCATGGAAACCATCACCATCACCATGAAAAGCCTCTGACTGAACAAAACAAAGGCTCTATGCACAAACATCCTGCGTTTCAAAGTACAGAGGAGAGTGCTTACCTGGATTCTACATGGAAAGGACTTACAGCACTTGGAGGCTTGTACTTCATGTTTCTAGTGGAGCATTTGATCACTTTAATAAAGCAGTTTAAAGACAAGAAGAAAAAGGTAGGGAAACTACTACTTTGAAGCTCTATTGTATTGCATGCTCATTTCTGAAAACACTTATTAAAACCCTTTTGTGAGTATTATATGTTTTTTATTTAATAGCGATAGCTATTAATCTAACACTTGATTAGTGTTAGAATTTAATTTATATTGGTGATACATATACTTTTAAACTGCGTGATAACCTTTTTGTGTGGTTCCATTATTAAGGGCTTTTAGCTATTTCCATAGCCAGACAATGTAGTACAGGCTTGATATCAGAGTGAATTGTTTAATAAGCAAATGTGCAAACGTCCAAATGCTCTCTGTTTTAACAGAGTGATTTAAGAAGTCACTGTTCATTATTGACTTATTTCTGACTGAATTTTGGCAGGTCATAAATGTTGGTAACTTGCCAATCACTGGTTCTTTACAGACTAGTGTAGCCAGGAATAATGAATGATGTAA